GGGGGGGCGTGGCCTGCTGACCCTGGGGGCGTGGCCTCCTGTCCTCCGCAGAAACATCCTGAAGCTGACCAACGCGTTCGACTTCCCTGAGAGCAGCATCACGGACTCCAACTACGAGGAGGTCTTCGCTCAGCTGAACCAGACCCGGCCGGATATCATTCAGGGGCTGCAGCTGCAGACCTGCGACCTGCAGGTCTTCCTCAGCCAGGTCCGTCCCAGGTCCAATGTTTTCCGTTTGATTTGTTTATTTTTTGGCCCATTCAACAGCAGGATCCCCTCCGGGACCAGCAGGATCAGGAACGGGATCATGAAGGCTCCTAAGGGACACGGTCATATTAGTGAAAACTCATTCCTGTGGTTCGGTCCATATTTTGAAATGTATTCGCTCATTTGTTTCGTTTTTTAACTGCACAAACATGAACAAAAACAAGTTAAACTTTTGTCTTTTGAAAAAAAGTAATGTAGAAATCAAGATTTTCTATCTTTTTTCATGACTCAAACATGTTAGCGATTAACATTTAACCCTTTAAAGCCTGATCCAAGAATTTTAAAAAAACTGAAAAAGACTTTTTTTTTGTTTGAAGTCTTTACTTGGCCTTTTAACAAAATATGTAAAAAGAAAAAAAACATAAATACATTTTTGATATTAATAATTTATTACTACGCGATAAATCCAGATTATGTTTTGTGTAGTCTTCTGCCCCCTGTTATCAGGTGTATCTGATTGTGTTCAATAGGATTTTGAGCAAAGTTTTTACCACTAAATTATGCAAAAGGTGTCGAAACATTTCAGAAATCGTATCAAATATGGTTCATTTGGCATTTTAGGGTTAAAGTTAAAGGCTTTGTTTGTCTTCAGGGTGTGGAGGGAACGGGTTTGGCCTTCATCGTCTTCACAGAGGCCATCATCAAGATGCCGTTTTCTCCCATCTGGGCCGTGCTGTTCTTCATCATGCTGTTCTGCCTGGGCCTGTCCACCATGTTTGGGAACATAGAGGGAGTCGTGGTTCCTCTGCAGGACCTCAAAGTGCTGCCTAAGTCTTGGCCCAAAGAAGTTTTCACTGGTAGATTTTCTTGGATTTCTGTTTTTTAATGAGTGTTTGGTCATCATCAGAATCAATGGGAATTGTTGGGTTTCTGTTATTAACTTCAGAGTAGGTCTGACCTTCTCTGTTTGGAAAACTGTGAGATAACTGTTGTTGTGATGTGGCGCTATAGAAATAAAATTGAATTGAACTTTAGTGTAACCGGTTCCCTGCTTTGATTCTTTTCTTCTCCTCTCAGGGCTGACCTGCCTGATCTCCTGTGCTCTGGGACTCATCTTCACGCTGCGCTCAGGAAACTACTGGCTGGCTCTGTTCGATAACTTTGCCGGCTCCGTCCCTCTTCTGGTCATCGGCTTCTGCGAGATGTTTGCAGTTATCTACATTTACGGGATAGACAGGTGAGTCCCCGTTGGACTATAGATCAAGTCCCGGTTTATTTATTTATTTATTTATTTATTTGAATAGGGACAAAGCACATTAATTAACATCAGTGAAAAACAAATGTAAATATGCCGGATTGTAGCTACAAAGCTAATTTTCATCCGTAGTCCCTAGGCAGGCAAAGGCATAAAAAATAACATATAATAAACAATATAAGCATCACAATTAAAAGTTTAGATTTTAGTGGTCACATGACTGGCTTGCTTTCATCCAAAGTTTAAGTTGATCTCTAAAGCTGGTCAGTGTGGTCCGTGAGTTTGCACTCAGTCCTATGTAACACATGCAAAATGCCAGTGAGCATAGCAGCCTTCAGCTCACATCTGAGTTTATTTGGCTCTGTTTAAATGTGCACTTTGGGTGATCGATCACATCTGGACTCAAACCCATCAGTTCACCCTCACATCTGCATCAGGGCTGATGGAGGTATGGACGTATAGCTACAGGCGTCTATCCCCTTTCACAAGCAAATAATCCAGTTTTCTGGACACATGCACAAGGACCAAATTTCTTCTATAGTTCTAAATTACAAACACAGCTCCCTGGGTCAGGTGACCAATCATCAGCTCTGAGCCTCCACTCAGAAAACCTGCCTGAAAAACCTCGAGCTTTGATAAACTGAAGGAAACTGACCCAGAAGTACACAATTCATTCAAATCTGCCACACAACTGTAGCCTCATGCAAACAAAAAGGCTGTAAAAAATGTAAAAAGTAGTTTTGGATTACTGGGGGGGAAATAACTTCTAAAGACCGTACATAACTACCACATAACTGTAGCCCAGTTCAGATATCACAGCAGAAAATTACTATTATTATTATTATTATTATTATTATTATTATTATTATTATTATTATTGTTATTATTATAATCATCATAATAATCATCATCATAATCATCATCATCATCATCATCATCATTATTATTATTATTACTCATATTATTACTACTGCTTTTAGTTCTCTACCTGGACTAGAGTAGGTATTGGGTATATTTCCTTTGACATCATTTGTCTATTTATGATCTCTCAAACTAATAATAATTAGTGGCTCAGTTTCTGATGAGACCAAATCTGGTTTGTCATATTCAGTCAGTGAGTTTTTTCAGTTTTTTCCTTGCTAAGCAAAGCGGGAATAGCTGAGTGTGGAATTCCGACCTTGAAGCAAAGATAAATGAATTTATCATGGAGAAGATAAAGAAAGTACAGGCTGTTTCCTGTGTTGTTGCAAAACTATAGGAGGAACGGTTTTACTGTCGAAGGAACCAGAGGCTCTGCATTTAGTCATAAATGGATCAAAAGATCGCATCACATTTAGCCTTTTTCAAGTATTTTGGGAGAAAGTTTGATGAGCATCAGTCTGTTCAGGACAGATATGAGGCCACACGTGCTGCGTCGTGTACTATAAAACTGCAAGGCCGTGTTTTATGGCTGATTTCATACATACTCATTTACACGGTTCCTTCCTCTTATTTCCTCTGAACAGGTTCAACAAGGACATTGAGTTCATGATCGGCCACAAACCCAACATCTTCTGGCAGGTGACATGGAGAGTGATCAGCCCCCTCATCATGATCTTCATCCTGATCTTCTACTTAGTTACCCAAGTCTCTAAGACTCTCACCTATCTGGTTTGGGACCAGGAGGCGGTAAGTAATCACAGTACGGTACTAAATATGTATACTTACAGTGGGGAAATAAGTATTTGACCCCTTGCTGATTTTGCAGCTTTGCCCACTTACAAAGAATGCAACGATCTATAACTTTAATCATATGTACATTCTAACAGTGAAAGACAGAATCCCAAAGAAAATTCCAGAAAATCACATCATATGAATTTATAAAAACTGATAACCATCTGATGAGGAAAAATAAGCATTCTTTGTAAGTGGGCAAACCTGCAACATCAGCAAAGGGGTCAAATACTTATTTCCCCCACTGTATGTAATCAATATTCTGTATTGAGTTTTGATGGTTCCATGACTTTCTGTGTGTGTTTTTGACCCCAGGACACCTTCCCCACCCTGAAGGAGACGACCTACCCCTCCTGGATCAACGCCATCGTCTTCCTCCTGGCCGGGGTTCCCTGTCTGAGCATCCCCTGCTTCGCTCTCTATAAATTCTTTCAGAGGAAATGCTGCAAGCAGAAGGACTACTACGACGACACAGTGGACACGGTCTCCGCCAAGATACAAATGAATGACAAGATGAAGCTCTAGAGGGAGACTAAACTTTTCTTTATGGATGTTCAATGTGACTCGATTTGTATGCTGCTTTTTTATCACTGGTGGTGAGGAAAGGTTTTTCTCGTTAAAAAGCTGGAGTCAGCTAAAAGATTCTAAGTGTTGACAGGATTTTGAAGTCAAATACAATCAAATATATTTATATTCCGACATAGGTTTTTATTTTCTTCTGTCTGTAAGATTAAATGTCAGTTCAAACTATTCAATCACTGAATGTGGGATGTTTGCTCTTGAAGAACGTTTTTCTCCCAAAAATATTCTAGGTTTCACACAATTCCAACCAAACCCTGAACACATCTGGAATGTGTTGATGGTGGAAACAGTGGAGCTAAAGTACGGCGCACGACGATGAAGATTAATGAATAAACGCCAACCTTAAACCTTCCTTTGGTTAAAATGTCACCTGCATGTATTTGTGTCACAGTGCTGTACAAGCAAAAGCTGAAACTCGCTGATCTGCAGGAATTCTCTGTTTTGAACGGTTAGGCTTAAAGTCCACATTTTCCCAAAATAACAGCTAAAGGCAGCAGTAGATCAGCAGCTCCTGATTATGGGATCTAAAACTCCTGTCATCTCAGAAGAGACTGGTTCCTCTGGAGTAAATATAGATGTGTGACATCTCATTTATGGACCGATTGGCTCATGTAGATATTTCGATCCAACTTTTTAAATCTATTTGACAGCTTTGTTTGTGTTTATATCACAGAAATGAGAGTATCTTTTATTGTGGACATTGAAAAGCTTTACATACTTGGAAGTTGAGGTGGATAACAACATGGAAATCAGGAAACGTCACACCGAGGCTGAAAATTGAAAAGCGACAGATTTTGTGTATACTGTACATACAAATCTCTCTGTACATTTGAGTAATAGAATGGTGTTTTTACAATGATCTGATTTACTGCTGCATGACTTCATACTTAAGATTCAAATACCCAGCACTACTGTATCACCAATAAAGACATTTTGTTTTTAGATCATTTGCTGACGTTTCATTTCCATTTGCAGCATAATGCACATAGAGAGGAGATTATCTATATGCTGTCAAAGATGTCCCATAAATAGGGCAGCTCACTTTTTTACCCCTGTGCAGGAGCTTTCAAACCCTACTTTAAATATATGACTAAATAAATAAATGGCATACAGTTCAAAGTCAATATTGCCATTAAGTGAGATAAGAAGCACAATTAACTTGGCTTCCAATCAATCTACAGCTTCATAAGATTTCTATATCCAGATATGAACCATTTTATATTATGATTTCAATATAACAATATTTAAAAAATATACATATTTTTTCAATGTGAAACGAATATTTCTTCATGTAATTAATAAATCTTTGAAAACACTCATCAAGTAAGTTTTTATTCAGATTTGGGATATTTTTTATTACACAAACATGTAGAAACTGTGGTTTCATTTCATTCTAACATCATAAAATAACCATTTTACCTATGATGGAGTTGTTATCTTTAAATAATCATCTCATCAGTTTACGGTAAAATGAATAAATTAAGTTTTGTATTGAAAAGAATTTGGCTTCTTCCATAACATTATCAGTCTTTTTCTATGGAAAAGAACCCGGATATGAAAGTGGTTTATTCTTAGTTTATCTGTCTTTGAAGTCCTGCCATGGCTCATTTAGTTGATAACAAACTAGAATCTCAAAAACAAAAGCACATGCTACACATATGTTGCCAATATTTAAATACAGAGTGTCCCCAGGTTAATAAATGGCATGTAACAAAGTGGTAAAAGACCATAAATTTGTTTCAACACAGCCCAGGGCTCCGATTCTTCCTCACACTCTCTGAGCTCCACCATGAGGCTGCAGCTTCCCAACCCGGGCCTGGAGCTCCGCATCCCCAGCTATGAAGACCTGGAGAGGATGGAAAAAGAGGAGGAGGCCGGGGACAGACCCAAGTGGGACAACAAGGCCCAGTACATCCTCACCTGCGTGGGCTTCTGCATCGGCCTGGGGAACGTGTGGAGGTTCCCCTACCTCTGTCAGAGTCATGGAGGAGGTAAGAGGAGAAAGAGTCTGACTTAGTGGGAACACCTACTTACTGTCCATGTTAGGATCCTGTGCTTAATGAGGAGGTTTACAGTGGGGGAAATAAGTATTTGACCCCTTGCTGATTTTGCAGGTTTGCCCACTTCTGTAGAAGTAGTAATCCACCGTGGAGCCCCTCTGGCACTCGGCTATGAACTCTGGAGGAGATAAACGTGTTATAAAAGTCAAACCCTGGACAGTACAGATGAGGACTGAAAGGCTGAACATGCAACAATAAGTATTTGAGCCCTTGCTGATTTTGCAGGTTTGCCCACTTACAAAGAATGCAACGATCTATAACTTTAATCATATGTACATTCTAACAG